TTTTGCTTTGCTTCATGTTGACATTTGTTTTCTGCAGTCAGAGTACTTTCTGTGTTGTTTTGACGCCTCTCCTTACGTCCTGCTCCCAGTGTCCACTTTTTTGCAAAGGAAAACACAGTCACCATACATACACACTCTCGTATATATATTGTAAGCTTAGGGCACCAGCACAGAAGCACGCAGAAATCAGTCTCACAACTTACCTGTAGAGAAATTAGGAATCTAAAAAGTAACCAATCAGGGTTAAACGGTATTCTTCCCCTCACGTCAGGTCATTCTGCCCAAGCTGCCCTTTTCTTCCTCCATAAGCCACCGGGCAAGTGGAACCAGCTGGGGTAATTAGTGCTCTCCAGGTGGGGGTAATTACGGGCGTGGCTTGGTCCAGGGTGTTTGATTGTTGGTCCACAACATGGGTGCTGAAATTTTAACAGGTGGCTGCTATCCAGGGTGCTGAAGGAGAAGTGTGGCCACCTGTCAGTCGGCTGGGGCAGTATGGCGGCTCAGGAGTGAGGTCTTGGATGCTGCCTCCATCCTGTGTGTGAAGTCCGCATGTTCTCTCTGTCTCGTGTGCGTACACTGGCTTCCTCCCTTAGCCCAAAGACATGTGGTTAGGCTAACTGGCATTGCTAAATTGGCCGTAGCGTACGATAGCCTGAGAGTGTGTGTCCCGTGATGGACCTGCATCCCATCCAGCTGGTAGCCCAGTCGTATGGCCTTTGCTGCCTGTCATGGACATGAGGTCCTCCTCGAACCTTGACCAGGATAAGCGGTGCGAACATGGATATGTAATAATATCAATATCCCATGTGGCTCAGCAGGCTGCATTGTGGCTGCATACCTCTAGGGGCCTGGCTTTTAATTCCAGCCCCAGCTCTGTTTATGTGATTTTCATATTCTTTCTGTGCTTGTGTGGGTTTTTTTTTTTGAGTTTCCTTCCAATATTCCAAACATGTGGGTGGATCAGTGTCTGTGAATTGCCTCTTTGTATGTGTGTGTTCCTCTTGATGGATTAATATTTTCTGGCTTTAGCTCTAAGCTTGCCATGACCCTAGATTTGATAAAGTTATAGGAGATGGATAATAATTTGTAGAGGAAATATTCCAAGTCAGCCAAAAACCGCACAAAAAAACCAAGACATAAAAAGGCAGAGCAAAAATTACTACTTAATATGCTTTGGGAAATCACCCAAAATAGCCAAGTTATCTCCCAAGTACACAATTTAACAAGATGTCCTGGAAACATGACAGCACTGATTAATTAGATGGCCAACCTGAGATGTGACACTATCTGATAGACCAGTATATTCTCCTTTGTCACTGTTACTCATGGAAATAAGACAGATTGCACTGTGTTTCTCAGGGCAGTTGAAACAATTAATACTAAGCAAACTGTTGATTTATTACACATGAGATTTATACTTGGGTAAAGCCTTGCAGTGTAAACACAATGTGCAATAAAATGGAGCACATGCTTACACTTATGGCATGGGTGTGTTACGTACAATGTTCTTATTTAAAAAATTATAGCACTTTAGTCTTATTTTTGGCTTTATCGCAAATTGCTCTGGTTTTTATTGGAAGCTATTTGTGAGTCATAGATCAAGGTTGACACGTCTGAGTCACCCCAGTCTGTTTTTTCGGTGTAAGATGAGTGCATTAGCATACTCCCACTTCCATTTTTTAACTAATTTCGCACAGATGAGCTGCAATAAAAGCAACATACACATGTAAATGATGGTAAACTGTTGAATTTAATAGATGAACATAATAGATTTTCAACTACAAAATAATGGCCTGAAAACATTTAGTAAAAAATGTATGCTTTCAGACTTGGCTTGCACTGTATTGTATTACCATCTAAAAATGGTTTAACAACAACCCCCAACCACAGCCGCTGGAAGCTTGGTAAACCCCAAAGCCTACAGCTTTATTAGGCATCTCTTTCCCTCCCCAAAAACCTGATGTCTACAGAAAGCACAGAAAATGATGTCTGTAGGTTGATATGGCTGGACTGCATGGACTGATTTAGTTTTATATCTGACAAGTTGTTTTTCTTTGTTAAGAATTTCAGTTTGGAGAAATTGGACCAGCTTCGCTTTTCCGTGACTGTTTTTCTTTATAGCCTTGAGGGAATTACACCACATTACATCATCAAAAGACACTTTAAACAGATTTTTTATTATTTGTTTATAAGGAGTGAGATCAAATTTTAGATCTGATCTGGTCTTTTGGTGTTTTTATAAGACTTGAGATTTTCCTTTTCCTTTAAAAGGATTATGCAGAACAAAGCTGTTCTGTCTTTAATTAACTTACATATTATTTGGATTTTTTCAGTTATCATAAGCACTATACTTTTAATATAGGGTCCTACCCAGTAACAAAGCTAGAGAATCTAAAATTCATGTTATGTGGGGTAGAAATGGAGGGGTTAGGAAATGAATAAAGAAGAATGAAAAATCACACAATCAATTTGTACAGATAGAAGGTGTCTGTTGGGGCCTTAAAATACTTAAGTATATTTTGATTCATTCCAAGCATTGGGGTAAAACCTTTAAATGTTATTACTTTGTACACCTAGCTCTGCTGAACAGAAATATACTAAACATTTTCACATTTCAGTTTTTATTAAATTTTTATTTATATTTCCTTAATTGCATCCATTATGCATGCATATCAATTATGCAATGCAGTGTACCAGTAGGGGGCGTACAATTGTTAAATATATAATTATATATACAAAATTATTTTTATACGCATTTGTAAGGTAAACATTGATTAGACTAACAGCATCAGTGAATAACATACAGCAGGATTTTAGGGGCATAGTGCTCATTTTAAGTTATCGAGCAAAAAAAAATTATCTTCTAATTTTAGCATATTGAAGTTTTTGAATACATATTTATTTATCATAAGATAAATCCACCTTTTGCTATCCAGCAGGACTGTCAGGGTAGCTGGAGCGTTCCTCATCACAGACACTTTTCCTCTTCACAGTTTACACTGTGACACATACAGGACAGGCACATACCCTGCGGCAAGCAACCAGTAACCTTATGATTTTACCATAAAATAAGCAAAAATCCATACAACTGCTTACCCTAGGCAGGGTTGTGGCAAGCCTGGGGTCTGTCCCAGGAAACGCGGGCTGTGATGCTGGGGATCCCCTGGGTGAGATGGCACACAATTTAAAGACACCTTAGCGGCATGTCTTTGGACTGAAACCAAACTGCCCAGAGAAGAACACCCCAAACACAAAATCAGTCATTTGCATCTTATAATCAGTCATTTGCATCTTATTCCTTAAAAACCTATTGAACTTATGAACTTACTGCTTGACCACAAATCTACTAGGGTCCAAGTAGCTAGCTTTCTTATCAATTTTAAAACTACTATGAAGAGCTATTATTTATTTTAATAGTCCAGTTATTTTATGAATAAAAATGTATATACACAAATCATGCATTTATTCAAACATATAAGTAGCTAAAAATAAATAATTTATTAATAGAATGAGAGCTACTAATAGTATTAAAAGCAACACTCTCCAGTGCAAATGGTGATGTGCTAGTTGGCTGAGAGCAAGGAAACAGTCCCTGCAGAGACACTGCCAAGGAGCATATTGGCAGTTCACTAAGTTGCCATGGCAACAGGAGTTTACAAAGTGGAACCAGCCTATAGTTAGAGTCCCACTTAACCTCAAACAACCACTTGTGTGGAAGTTGTCTAAGCCATTTTAGGTGCACAGCACAACAGTTAGACAACATGCTGTGACTGCAGGATCAATGAGTAAGTTATCCTTTGATCAGTCCCTCAGTTAGTAAATAAATAAGTCAAGTGACATTAGTAACTGTTCTGTGCTAGAAATCTCATACTCCTGTGGAGTTATAACACTTCATTTATGGCTGACAAGGAGCCCTCATGCAGTATATTCCTATCAGTCTAATCCATGACACTGAGGTTTGGTTACATATAAATGTGAATGCCATGTGTTATAGCTCATCAATACCATTTATAACACATTTGTAACACATTCATACTTTTCATGTGGTAGGAATTACCATTATGATTGCTTGTGGTGTATGTGGGAAGTGTCATCAACATATATTCTTAGGTATTCTTTTTACCTCAGTGAAACAGAAAATGATAGCAAGCCATATTGTAACATAAATGTTAAATTTTTTAATTAATTGTAGTAGTTTTGATTTTAAAATAAATATCACAATAATTTTCTTCCTCGTTTCTTTAAAGGTTCCAGTAATTTTAGAGCTGACTGTATATAGGGTTATAAGATAAGTTAATAACTATATAATAACTATAAACCTAGGACTGGAACCTAGGATCGCGAGCTGGTTCACTGGGTAACACTGTAGCTCCACACTCCTAGGCCTGGGCTGCAATCCTGTCTGTGGGCTCCCTCTGGGTTTCCCCTACAGCTCAAGGAGATGCAGTTAGGAGTTACTGTCCTAACATGAATGTTCATCTTGTGCCCTATGCTGCCTGGGATAGGCTGCAGGTTGCCCAATGACCCCATCCAGGCTAAATGGTTGGAGAAGAGGCAGATCTGATTGGTTTAGTTTAACTCCTTGTTTCTGACTACATCAAAGTGGTTTTTGAGTCTGCTATGACTGCCATGATTCACTCAATTTGAAATAATAAGCCATGTATGAAAACAGCCTTTCAGTCATATCTTATTTTGCAGAAAGTAAAACTACGAGAAGACATTTAGAGATTTAAATGATTTAAAAGTATGTAAATTTTAACAAACAATATCCCTATTTATAGCCAACTACTTGGTATTGTAATATTGGTGAACTACAATGGACAAATGTAATTTCAATGATAAGACATGATCTAAAGTGATCCATTTGTAATACATAACTGGGTGTAGATTTTGTTATAAAACAGTTTAACTAGCAGGGTAACAATGTATGCATGGAACCATGGACAAAACATTTCACTATATGATATTCATTATGATAACATTATTAAACAATGCAGACGTTTTGTGAACTGACAACCCATACATTTTATTCTTAATGCCATTGTTGTGGTAATACGAATAATAATCAGACAGTAAATACCATGAATCTGTTTATGAAACATTGTTAGCACAGTAAAATAACACATAACTTTGTATTCAGTTGTGGATGAGTGTTTTTTTTATTCCCACACATAAAACAAAACCTGATAGCAGAAAGATTTTTCATTAGAATAAACAAAGGAGTAAGACTGAAAACAGGACCTAAACTTGCAAATACCCATTTTAACAAATACGTACCTATATATAGATAAATTCTGTCCAAATTACCTGACCATACTTTGTCATATTTGTCATAGTGAAACCAGATTATCAGATACATACATTTATTGTTTGTTAGTGTCTGCTATTGGAATATCCATAGAATATAGAAAAATGCTTTATGAATTAAAATGTATTACTTACAAAGTATAAAATAATATACAAATGTTTCTACATGTTTAAAATACAAACTTACTGCTTGTTCAAAATGTACAAACATACAATCAAGTGACATGCAAAGAAACAATACAATAAAAAACTATGTATACAAAAAGAAAGAATGCCATTGTGGTTCAAAACTCACACTGTGCCCTTGCAACTTACATCCATACATATATATTTTATTCTAGCAGATACTTCATTTGAACATTACCATTATAAAATTATCGTTTTCAATGTATAAAATTTAAAACACATAATTATGCAATCTGCGTAGTTTTTTTTTTTATTCTTTAATTTTTTTCTAGTTAGGTTATATTTCTCTATCATGTAATGCCAATAGATTCCAATAGACAGATTATGTCCCATTAACCTGAACATGCTTTGTCAAAGCGAAACCAGATTATCAGTTACAGTAGCAAAAACACATTTCATAATGTCAAGGCACCAGTATGTTGGCTGGTATATTAAATTACCGGGTATTTTACATCTTACCAAAATGTCAACCATCAAGCTGCAACCTCACAGAACCATCAATTTTGCGTGCATCATTATCTTAAACAGGAATCCACAACAATGACAGAATATTTACACTCCAGCTAAGAATGGCACATTTAGGGTCATGTAGATTTACAAGTTTCTATTGCAGTAACAACTAAAGGTACTGACTGTGAATTCGTGGTATGGTTAACTGTTTGCTGAGGGAAAAATAAACACAAAGTAACTTTGGCCCCAAACAGCATTCAGCTCACAACATTTAGAATTTTAAGCTAAGTGACGCCTGCATGGAACAACGAACTTCTTGGTCCAAGATATCATATAACCACAGTTTGACTCAATGCAGTTGGATCCATTTCATCCAAAATATTTACAACAGACATTTGGTAAATAAATATATAAATTAAGGCTGTGCTATTATTGCACGGATCACTACTTTGTGCAATTTACAAGTTGCTGTTTTTATGGCAATCGTTTCACATTAAATTCTTTTATCCCTGTTTTCAAAACCATAAAATTGTATGCTCACTTTAGAAGGAACATTACATTCACAAAATGGTTTATTTTAATTTTCTGTCGATAAATTTAATGCACAGTTGAACATATTTAATTTATTACTATCTGGAATAAAAATATTTGTGTGTAAAAACAAAAATAGTGTACAAGAAATTTTTGTAGTTTAATAAGTAAAAGTTTACGTTGGTATAGAAATATAATGCTTAAATATAATGAGACTGAATTTTTCATGTACACAATGGCGTTGGGAAAAAAAAAGAATTTATGCACAAATGCAAATGGGTTGTGGAATTCTGTCTATAATGATACAACTAGAATGTAGCAACCAAGAACTCCATTATAGGCGTAGCTAAAACAGAGGTTCTTGGTTTCTTTACTATGTTTCCCATATAGTTCCTAAATATGGGTCAGTCTCCTAAATGCATTGCAGCGTTAAGATCACCTAATACTTAAAAAGTGCTTTCCAAAGAATGGCTAGAGTGGCTCCAGAAATATACTGTAGATCTATGAATTTATACTTTCAAATGCCTATGCAATTTTCACACATTTCTTATCTAGACAACTGAAATTAAAATAAATGAACAATGAGGCAATTATACAGGCAGTATTGAAAAAAGGCAATGTAATGTAATGTAACACTGATCAAACAGTAAATGCATGTCACTTTCACATCAGGAAATAGATTCTATGACCATTTTGAAAATCCAGAAGCAGAAAAAAAACAACTCATTAAAATTAGAATATATTTGTCAAGAAAATGAATGAAAAAACACATATATTATGAAGTTAAAAGCACCTAAAACTATTGTATATTGTACACAATAGCTGTTTGCCCAAGATAAACAGTATACAAAACAATAAATGAACACAAGGCACGTTAACAAATGCTTCTATAATGAGATGGCCCTTAAAGGACAGCTTACAACAAATATATTGCCTAGCTATGTCAGCGGTTTGCTACTTTCCAGGTACGAGTCTTTACATATCAGGAATGTTTCCCAAAACTAAAGAATTTATATTGTTTACTGTAATAATAAGGAAAAAATCCACACATAAATTAAACTTCTGCACATATTTGAAACAGACCAGAATTTCCTGCTTCCTTCAGTTGTAAATGATTGCCTTTATGGCCTAAATATGCAGGCTGATTATTTAGGTAAGTGGGACAGAATATACAGTTAAGTACACAGGGCAAGGTCTTTTTTTAAACACTTTTGCCCATAATTTTGCATTAGCATTGAATTTTCCTGTTCAGTGTGATCTCATTCAAAGATTTTTGATGAATGACCAGAAGTGCTTCTCGAGACATGTAAATAACACAAAGCATTGTTTTGACATATCAGAGTCAGGACTTCAGACTTAAAATATCTTAGTATATTTTTGCATAATATGTCTATATTATCAATACACCTTTTCGACCTTTGAAATATTAAAAGTAATTTTTCAGCAAAAAATGTAAACATTTTAGATTCAAGTTACTTCGTTTTTGGCCATACCGAATTGGGAAAGTTACAATATTTGTGAAACAAATATGTAGGTGTTCGTAAAATCCTTTTAGCTAGGTTTGTTTCAATTGCGTGATGCTGTCTTGACAGTCTTATATTCCAAGAACCACCAAAAACAGTCACAATATTGATTACTCTAAAAAAGCATTTTAATTTTGAGAACTACACTTTCATTTAACCAAAATGAACGTAATTCCAAAATAGCGATAAAATGACAATAATCTGTTTGTATACATACATATATCTATGCTTCCTGTACAAAAAATGACTGAACTTGGCTAATATACAAAACTGCATACAGTACAAATGACCACTAGACACTTTATTCAAATACCAATATTCTGTTTTATGAGGCTTGTGTCATTGTGGATTATTATGATTATGAATTATAATCAGAGTCTGGAATTTTCTCCTGACCATATGGTCATCAAGGTTGTCAAGATACACGTGCCTTATGTTATTAAGGGCCTGATTAGTACATATTTCTCTTGGAAAAAGTGGATGACTCAATTTGTTTTCCCACCAAGAAGAATGTTTTAATCTGGGAAGAAATTCCAACATCCAGATACTCTGCTAAAGGTATCTTTCCTAATGCTGACAGTGTGTCTATTCAGATTGACTGATGAGTCTACAGATGCATAATTTGCTTTTCTAAAACAAAAGGATACTAAAGATGCTGTATACCAGGGTTGGGGCTATTCTCCAATGCATTCATCAATTCCAGTCCAAATCAGAAAATGGAACTGGAGTTGGAATTTAAATCTCCCTGAAATTTGATTTCAATTCCAATTCTGTTCTCCATAGTTTTTTTTTTCCAATCCCAACTCAAGTTTCATTTCCTGATTTGGACTGGAATTGATGAATGCATTCCAGAATGGCTCCAACCCTGCTATATACAGACCATACATATGCAGACTATATAAGACCTTTTCCCTTTTTCTCCTGCCCATGCAACCCACTTGCTAGCAGATTTGTTTGCTTGCAACACATTTAAGATTATTTTACATGTTTATGTTTTGTTTAAATCCTGTTTTTATCATGTTATCTACCAATTCACTATTCACAAATGTAGACATTCTGACTCTTCTTAGGTACTTGATTGAGCATACTCCATCAATGCACCGATGGTGGAGGGGGAGACTCAAGAAATCATGAATAAATATGGGCTCAAATTATTATACGAGTATTACTTTTATTCAATTGCTCAAGCGATGCTTCATTATTAACATGCCTTTGAAATGTTCTAGGAATATCTCAACATTAGGACAAACACATGCTAAGCATGTGTCAAACTAAATGCACAAAATAAGCCCAACTGACTGGAGTCTGAGCTGGTACCAGGCCATCACAGTCCATTGTATGAAAAAGGCACAGTGAAATGCAAAGACAGATATGTTATTCCAACAGTTATTTAAAAGTCTGCAGACCCGCGCCCCATGGGTCAATATCATTTCTCCTAATGTAGTTATGAACATTTGAAACGAACTAAAACTAATAGCAAAAAAGTGACTATAAAGACTCAAACTGCAATACTGACTATCGACTGCCCTTAATAATAAATAATGAAAAATGTTAATGCAGACAAACAAAAAATGTTCAATTTATATACATTCCTATATGGTCTAATGACAGATATGGATTAAAATAAATGAGAGGGGAATGATTATTGTCCTATATCTTTATAATAAACGGATTGTGCTTTAATTAAAATCCATGAGAAACAAAAGATGGTTATACTCTAAGAACAAACGAACAATAGTCTATATACAGTTGCTGGTAAAGGTGTGGCCAAACCACAGTTCTAAACAAGATGATAATAACAGGACTTTACATGATGCTACAGCTGACATGGTAGAATCGATATGAGAACTGCACAATGCCTGCTCAATTTAAACAGGTTTCACTTCAAGGACTGCCTGTATCTGCCTTGAATCTTCCAAATACATTTAGATAATATTAACAGGCTAAAGTGCTGGGACAGTTCAGGGTGTGAAGTGCAGTGATAAATGACTGGATGGCAGGCTGCAGAGGTTGGCTCGCTTCTTCCCTGTGGAGAAGCCCGCTTCCTTCTCGCTTCCTTGACACCATCGGAGCCGCTTGGCTTGAACTTCCTCCCAGGGATCCTCAGGCTGACCCGGCTGTGGCTGAATCTTCAGACGACCCGTACGAACCACAGAGTCAATGGTGTCTTGGCTGAAGAACTCAGGCTGCTGGCGAAGGCACTTCTTCCCTGGGAGGTCTACACATTTCTCCAGCACTGGCATTTGACGCACAGGCTCCTCATCAATCAGCGAAGGCTGCTTCCTGGGTCGCCCTCGCCTCTGCTTCACTACGTTGTTGCCAGTCTTGGCTTGTCTTTGGAGCCGTTTGGCCTTCAGGATTTTGTTAACATGATCCAAATTCTTTTTGGTAGAGAGAATCTTGCAAGCATTTCTCATGCTGCAGTGAATCTCCTCATTTCTTTTTCGGTTAAATGTTTTCTTCATTGGAGCACTGTGGATTTCTGAGGAAAGAGAAATAAACATGGTTTAAGATCATACACCTAAAGTTATTGTTAAAGGAATATTTTAGTATATTCAGCAAAGAGTACTTTTTATATTATAAATGTGACCCTGCACAGAAGCGGATATAGAAAATGGATGGATGGATTATATGCCTGTATGGTAAAATGAGGGGAATGATTATTGTCCTATATCTTTATAATAAACGTATACACATATACACTTTTAAAAAGATGGATTTAAAATGATTGATTAGATGTAATTCCAAGCAGACCTGTATTTTTTGATTTCCGTTTTTGAGGGAAGATGGAATTATCTTTGCCATAAATGATAATTACGTCTGTGAACTTAATTTAATGTTTGTCTGAACATTGATTATGTATGGCTGTATACGTGCTTAAGAATACAATTAGTACAATTTCAACAATATATTCTGAAGGGATGAAGAATTCTTCAAGGATAAAGAATTCAGCAAAAGACAAAACACTTACACAGCATTTGGAAAAGAAAATCTAAGCTCACATAATTAAACACTACGAGCCCCATCTGATTATAATCAGTTATTGCTACATATCTTGAATTTCCATTTATATGCAGACCATAAAATATGGCATCGGTCCTAGGATATGTAGATAATTTACTGCTTTCAACTCTATTCTGGAGTCTTGGAAAGTAGCCTGGACCTTAAAAGAAAACTACACTCATGCAGGTCTCATGTGGAAAAAAGTTATAGTCTGTGGCTGTCCAAAAGAATACAGGAGAACGTATCATTTCGCTTCAGATGTTTGTAAAATGCTTTTAGAGATTACAGATTTTTTTCTGGGATAAGGTAGTGGGAAACGGACAAAACAGAAGCATATTAGAAACACAACAAAGGTCTAAATTTTTAATTTGTATTATTTTTTCCTGAGTGTTAATTGGACACACATAAGGTGGACCTGAACAATCCTTGAACAAATATCAAACAAACCAGAACTGTAAAACTAAAGTGTGTTCTTAAAATCTATTAATACTGTCATAAACAACACTCATTGTATATGAAATCGATCCAAAATTCAAGGGAAATGGTTTTCAACTACAGAAAGTCGACAGCAGGCTTTCCTTGTTTGATTATAAACATTAAGGCACATCAGTTATAAGGGTATTATTTTATGTGGCCATTGTAAGAGAGCCCTTTGCTGACGGGGCAACTCTGCTGAGACCATTGCAGATGAATTAAAATACAGCAGCATGTCTGGTATTTAATCAACTGAAGTGCTTTGGTGTTACCCGCTCCTTGTCTCTGTTCATTGCCCCCCTACAGGCACTCATATAAAGTTCAAGTCCTTAGTATTTGCTTTCACAGTCCATAATGGAATGGCACCTACCTACATTGAGTTGTTCATCAGGACTCACATTCCATCTTAGATAACTTTGCCTGGCTTATTTATTCTGGGAGCACATTGACTAACTCATCACTTAGCGACGCTTGATGTCCTCTTCTAATATTTTGCACACATCTAGTAGGATGTGTACCTAGTTGGCTTCTTTACAGGTGTATGCTTGTGATGTGTTATCTGCCTTTCTTGTATGTTGATTGGAACAGAATTGTCTGCTAAATAAGTAAATGTAAGCGCTAAAATAACTAAAATTGTGACCGAGTTGGAAGTTCATCACTGTTTTATGCTTTGGCACACAAAGCTCATCAAGTTTGCTTACAGAATCTTTAACTACTTACTATGTGAGTAAGGAGCTCCTTACCTTCCAAAAGAGGAAGTGACAGCTGTGTCCTCTCCCTTTGGCCATTTCTGAATAGGGGACTTTGTTCCGTGTACACACCATGGCTTTCAAGGCTTCGTCTCTTGTTGCTGATACCTTCTCGAGAGAACTGTAGTCTCTCAAACAGGTCTGATGAGAAATCCTGCCTGGACTGTATGCTGTCAGTGTGTCTGCATTTGCTGACACTCTGTATCTCATGCATTGGCTGCCCTGGTTGTTGCGGAAGCTTCCATTGCTTTGACTGTGGAAGAGATGATTTGTAAAAAGTATTTGCTTGAAAGATATTCTGAGAGCTTCTTTGTAGAGTGTGAGTGGTTTCTGGGTTCTGTTGCTTATCTTTTTGTTTAGGGTCATTGTGCTCATTTTCCAGCACCCTGAGCCTTTTACTTATATGGCTCAGAAATGTAGGCTTCATTGTCCTTCTATAAAGCCCTCCCAAGTCTTCATTATGGCAGCTGGAGAGTTGATTTTCATTATGCTTGTGTTTGTGCTTGTGTTTGCGTTTGTGGTGTCGGACATTGGGCAAGTTATCGGCACCACCTTTAGGAACCATTAACAGTGGCTGGACACTGTCCATTTTTGTGATGGGTAGCTGATGGGTGCCAAATCTGTGTTTGCTACCAGGAGTAAACTTTAGATGAGCTCCAGAATGGAACTGGGATGCTGGGACGACTGGCCTTGAAAAAGGAGGGGTTGTTGTCCCAAAAGTATGAGGAATGTATAAGGGAGCAGGATATTGACCATAGTAGCCTAAGTTCATCATAGTGGTTGCAACAGGCATTGATGTACAAGGCATTGTATAGGGTGCATAGAAATTGCTGCTGGGAAAAGGATAGCCAAATCCATGGATAAATGGTGTTTTTGTTACGAACTCATCGGTTTTGCCTGGCTTACCACGCCGCTTTTTTGATTTCATTTCCAGATTCTTTCGAAACTGATGTAATTGGTCATAAGGAAAACATGGAACGGGATAGTACTGGTCATAATGAATTTGGTAAGTGCTAGGATATAAATTCTCACAATATAACCTATAGCTGTGATGAGAGATATGGAACATCTGGAACTTGCTAATGAGCTCCTCTAGGTCAACTAGAAACTGAAGATCATTGTGCCTTTGAACACCCTTGCGTTTGCGCCAGTGCTTCTGTTTCTTCATATTATCTGGACTAAGAGGAGTTTCTATACTGGGTGCAGTGCCATTCTTATTATGCCAGTGTCCTCTCCTGGATTTGTTGGCACTGTCTGCTGCAACAACCTCAGAGGGCTCAAGGCTACAAAAGTCAAAAGAATATCTTCTTCGGCAAACAGAACCTTTCTCAGCTTGATCAGATGTGCTGTTGTTGTCCGTGCCGATTCCACTATCACTAGGGATTGTCTCCTCGCTGTGTGACTCACTGACAGGAGATAAGGTAACCTCTTTCAGGGAGACCACCTCAGAGAGATGCGAAGGTGAGTTAGTCATAAGTTGAGGAGGAGAACGCTTCCAGTTGCTGGTCTTTGGAGTTTTCATGGGTAATCCACTGACAGCCTGAAGATTTGGCATGGTCCTCACCTCCTGTGTATTGGTCCCTTGATTGAAAAGGTATGATGTACAACCTGTTCCACTAGCACCCACAGTTTGGGCAGAATTCAACTGGATGGCTTTGGGAGAAATTTGCACAAGCGACCATGGTTTGGAAGGCACTGTAATGTTTTCAAATGAGCAAGAGGACAGTTGCTTATTTCTCATTTTGTCCTGGTCACTTTGGACTTGAACCCCAGGCCTTGGCTTCCTACCCCTCTTTTTACCAATATAAATAGTTCCTCGCTTACTTATGTTAATTTGCTTTCCAAGCCTGGCCTCGATTGTTGATGCCACAGTTGAAACGGCATGTGATGTGGGAGCCATGGATTTTAAAAACAGATTGTTCTTATGACATGACAGAATTTCATTTAAGATACGTTTCATTTCAACTGATTTTGTTTTATTAGAAGTGCTTTTGTTTATTTTAGCGACCTTATTTGCCTTCATTTCTTTCACTTGATTGGTATGGGACAAACTATCATGGCCCATCTTAACAAATTTTGCTAAACTTTGCTTCCTCCTCCTTTTCTTTTGTGTATGAGATGTCTCCTTGGTAACTGGATTAACAGGACTGTCAGATGTTTCCTCATGAATGGTCTCAACTGTAAGTAAAGGTTGCTTTTTTGGACGTCCACGGCTCTTCTTAAGAGGGGCGATGACAGTCAAGCTACCCACGTTGGTGTAGAGTGGGCTAGAAGGGGTGATAGGATATGCTGAGGGAAGCTCTGGAGCATTCTGATGACTTGACTCTTTTAATTTTGTACATGACATTTCCTCTGCCTGCAATTTGCGTGATTTCTTGTCTCCCTGTTCATCTGAAGCTGTCCTTGCATTGGACCTCCCTATACCATTTTTCCTCAGCCTGATCTTACTTGTGTTTACCATACCACTCACAGTTCCTGCCATCTTTGTTTCAGGTTTATGATTATCCGTCACCTTTGCGGCCCATGACCCTATCTTGTTCGGTACCTTTGACTCTTTGTCCCTTTTTTTGGCTAACTCAGGGGCTTCTCTTAAGTCTTCAGAGATCACCGCATCTTTTACTGACTGTTGATACTGTCGCCTTCTCCCAGCGTGCCCCTTTGACTCATCAGTTTGCACAGGAGCATACACTGACAGCATTATGCTTTTCTCATTACACTCTGCATCCCCTAAAGACAGCTCAGAATAGTCAGACTCATTAATTCGCCTCTCTTTCACGCTATCTTCAGAGATGCTTTTAGCCATTTTCCCTTCCACAACATCAAAATTATAGGATGAAACTTTTCGCTCATATTTCCTCTTAATATTCCCAAACACTTGCTCAGAAACCTCACGTAAACCTTTATCTTTCTTGTCAGGAGCAAGTCTCATTAGACTGTTGTCTGTTTTCTGAGCTTCCTTTCGTGGAGGACTTGTAGGTATGAATGAGTGGGTTATCTGGCAAGGGCTTCCAGTAACACAGAAACCAGAAGAAGGGTTGCTGGCAACTTTTTTTTGCTGGGATTTAGTATGGGTGTTTATCAAATCTGGCAGAATATTCTCAGCTACATTTGACATCTCTCCTGTAGGTCCAACACCTGTTCTGTTTTCTGGGGAAGAACCTGATGGTGCTTGTGACTTTGTGCTGTCCAGCTGAGGGTCACGTGTGTTTTGATTTAATTTCTTGAGGTCCACCTAGGAGACCAAAACAGAAAAGACATTAATAGAAATAATGTGAATTCTACAAAACAGTAACAACTCAAGAAGTGCTTTACGTTAATGAATGAAATTCTTCCTGAACAAATATGCAAATGAGGCTTTATCATTATGAATAGCATAAAAAAATTATGTTTTTTGTCTTAAACATATGGCCATGATAGGGAGAGGACTTCAACCTCTTCATATATCTTTTCTATACATATATTTTTCCCCAAAGAAGCTGATGTCTGAACTGTTAGAATAAACAAATGAATGTGTCTGCAACCAATTGAACGGGGGATGTGGAGTACTGCTGACCATTAATGACTCCTAGCAACATAATTCATTTCATTAAACATCATGGTAAAAGATAAAAAAAAAATATTTATAATTGGACTAAAGTAATGGATGTCTAAACAAAATTTATTCTAATTAAATATTAAAGATGATCCAAAACTTTAATGAAAACAATATTCATGTAACTCTGTGTTGATAATAAAGTCTAACACTGCAGTGTAACATTAATCAAACTGATAAATAAAAATTAAACTTGACACACATCTCCTGCTCATCTGGCAAAAGGCATTTTAAGGCATTGACTTAACATAATTAAAATACATGGCTTACAAGTATTGCATATCTCCTGATATGACCAGTAATCACTTATGTCATGTCATGTTTTTTTATGAATGATCCAATTGCATTATTCTGTTTTACAGATTATCTTCATTGTAGTGACTGGTTTAGTCTTACCATATTATGAAAGGTGTATTGGGATTATCAGTTGGCTTGTGTTTTTCCACAAAATATTACATTTTAACGTCCATATCAGACATCGGGCAGCTCAGTGGGTACCATTGTTATCTAGGGCTGGGGGTATGAATCTCACCACCAATCTGCAGGTGGAAAGTTTGCATTTTCTCCCCGTGTTCTGGATGTTATCTGTAAATACTACTCTCACAGTCCAATAAAATGCAAATTTGTATGTGTAAAACTGCCCATAATGTGATACCGCATGCGAGAAAAATCCTGTGCATTAAAGTACAGTAAAAGTACCAATGAGAAACAACCTGCAATCCTACTAATCTCAACTTGAGAAAAATGTTAATTTATTTATATGTCATGGAACACAGGTAATGGATCAGACCAAAAAAACAGATTTTATTTTCCCAAAACACCAACCAATACATCTGAAGATAGGCCTATGTGTATTTATAAGAACAAATGCTCAGGCATAAGGCTGAACGATTTATCAATTTCAAATTGAAACTGCAATTTGAAACAACGCTATTAGCAAATGGCAAATGCTGCGATTTACAATATACATTATACAGCATGTCTGACCCAGTGTTTAAAACTATCATGAGAACAGTTTTAGATATAGTTTTATATACATAGTTTTACATATTCATGCCATCCTCCTTGTGTGACAGTCATTCTCAGCAATCAGAAGTGCCGTGCTCCTCATCAGAAATCTTACGGCAAATCTATCATTCCATTATAAACCTAAAATTAGCTACAGAAAAGCATACAGAATACTTATAAAGTAATAACACTGTCACATATATGTAAATGTGTGTGCAGACTTCTCTCAAATTGAAATTCTTAAGCCAGCCAGCTGACCGAAGTTGGCAACCCTGTAAGATGATGCAGCTAAGTGACGGACGGGGCTGACCTTCATTTTAGCAGCAATTATTTTGACATACAGGAATCCTATAAAGTAAATTAAGCAGAATAATTTAAGTTACGTGATAACAAAGACAGGCCAAGCTACTCCGCGTAGCTTAATGGCACATGTCTATGGCTACATTATTTATTTTTCCCTCTTCTTTTAAGATATACTTGCATTGCAGTTGTTCTGTGGTGATATTTACATTTTGCTTTGCAATGTTTACAGACACGGTATTTTCATTCTCCTGTGACAGAAATTATTTAGACCCTCATATGTTATTCACATCTTCCTTCCACCATATTGCAGAGTAATCAAAAAGAAAAATTTTAACTGATGCATTTTATTAATCAAGTAATAGTACCAATGTTTTTAAATGAATTTCAACCTGAACAAGAATACATTACACATTACAACAACAAGTTCGAACAAGTCGTTTTGTTAGTTTGGTTAGTTACTGGAGGGATCAATCTCAATCATAAAGGGACACAGCCTTTCATTTATATTTTTTAGTTAGACGTACATATACTTTTACTTTTTTACTTATGGTAAGCCACTATATACGGCGGCAGGGGCATATCTGGGCATAAATGAAGGGTATATTTGCAAGTCGCACTGGTGCACCTATTTATAAAATTTAGTCGCATTGTCTCCAAAAATGGTCACAAAATGCTACCAAATGGTTGCAACCTGGAATCCCGTGGAGCATCACTGTTGATTTTTTAGCCATTTTTTACACTACACAACTAACAAAAATAACAAAACACACACACACACACACACACACACACACACACACACGAATCAGCTCAGAAGTTGGCCTCTGGGCATATGTTTTTCCTCAGGCCTATATGACGTGCTCAGAAAACATTACGTTAGTCAGCCAATCACCAGCGACTTTAGATCTTTACACAAGTGTGCTGCATGCTTACTACCTCACAGATGCTGAGATTTACTGTTTGTGCGTTGGAATTTGGCACCAAAAGAAAATTAATTTTTCAATCCTGGATACGATTGGAGCATTTTGGTTGGTACCACAAAAGCAATGAAGTTTGGTACCCAGCCCTACACACATGTCATTATCCAACAGTAGATGGTGTACCGAACAATTCGATAATATACCGTGGCCTCAAAACCAAACCGAACCGCTGGCAAACGGTATCGTCACATTCCTGTTAGGTAATGCTTTACATTAATTGCACTTTCATAATGCATTGATTTTGCATTCATAGAACATTCATTGCACCTTCATAATGCATTCATATGCAGCATCCAAGAATAGCTTAACATCTTAATAGCTTTAATGTACATTAGTAACAAACATTATATGATTATACGATTATAATGTTACTTATTATGATACTATGTTTGTCATTAATGTATACTACAGCTGTTAAAGTATGTTAGGATGTTAAGGTATAACATCCTAGTTGCTTATGAATGTTATATGAATGCTTTAAGAATGCATTATATAGGTGCAAATAATGTTTGATGAATGTGTTATAATAACATTACGAAGGTGCAATTAATTACCAAATATTAGAATTCCACTGCCATACCAATTAGGCCTATAGTATCAACTACAGGATTAATGAACGTAAAATTTAGAGAATTTAGCATCCTTTCTCTGAGATCAGATTCATGTTAAATCTCACTTTTGCTTACAGGCAAAGCTTTCTTATGCAGTAACATGTTCATCTGTGCTGTGGCAACAGAAAGGCCAATAAATCTCATGATCTCGCTGTCATTAACCATGTGCAAAAAGAGAAACCATCTAGTTTTCAAAGGCAACTGCACCAGGTCGCTTTGAAAGGACCATCATTTTGTTCATGCAGCCCAGCATTTTGGGTGGCATGGGGTCTCAGTGCATAGCACTGAGAAAAGGTTTGAATCCCACCTCCATTCTGCATGTGTGGAGTTCTCCCTGTGCTGCATGGGTTTCCTCAAGGTACTCCAGTTTTCCTCCCTCAGTCCAAAGGCAATTCAGTGTTTCTAAATTGCCAGGGATAGTATGTATGTATGCATGTATGTATGTATCATGCAATGGCCTTGCATCCTATCCTGAGTGCACCCCAGCCCTGCACCCTAGTGCTGCCTAGGGCAGGGTAGAGCTCCCCTATAACCCCGACCAGGATAAGCAGTTAGAAGTTGAAAGTCCTGTACTTTATACTTAACTAGCATATATATAATGTATAGCATATAGTCCCTTTGAGTTCTCATTCTCTATTTTTGGTAACTGCTAGAGTCCTTTGACTTCCAGTGAAACAAAATGTATTTATTATGGAAATTTTGTCTCCTTTTTTATTTGTAACTGAACAACACTGTGTAACACTTTACATTAATTGCACCTTGTCACATTAATAACAAACATTATATAATAATCATATTATGTTTATTACTAGTGTATATTAAAGCTACTAAGGTATGTTAGGATGTTATGGTATACTTACATGCTGCTTATGAATGTTATATGAATGCATTATGAAGTACACTGAATGTTCTATGAATGCATAATGAATGTGTTATGAAGGTACAGTTAATGTAAAGCGTTGCCCAACAATGTCCTTGAGAATCACCACTGGCACTTTGAAATGTCAAACAATAAATAATTAAAGCTGATAACTGACAAAGCATTTGTCAGCTTTGTAAGAAAATGTATCAAGGATTAAAACAAAAAGAAATGCTGCAAATTGCCTGCATACATGTCAACTTCACTGCGGTGAACACAGGGAGCTGGGTGACGGACAACTTGTACACTTCAGTGAAACCTGTGAGCGATCAAAAAAAGACTCCTTATACAAAAAAGACTCCTTATACAAAAAAGACTCACCCACACACCTTACAAAACGTAACTTTCACCTAGTTTTGATTTCTCAATACAATCATGCTGAGGGATCCACTGATCTGAAAACTCTGACAAATATTGGCGTATTCGTCTATAACCCGGAAATGAACGCAGGGAGGCTGTAGAGGGTGGCTTTAGAGCTGGGCGATATGGCCTAAAAATAAAATCTGATTTTTTCCACAATAAATCCGATTTTCGATTTTAATCGATTTTCCCCTCCCCTACTCAAAATCAAACTACAGATGACAAATAAATGGTTGAAAACAAAGTTTTAACTTTATTTTCTTGTTTTTTTTACTTTAGAGTAAAAGTGCAATCTGACAAGCCAAAAAATATGCTTGTAAGTGAGATGGTAGACCACGCCATTGTAAACACTTTTAGAAACTTATAAAAAACTTTTAGCATGTTAATGAATCCCGGCTTTTCCACAGTATGCATGGGCACCATGTCTTTTGCAATATACATCATATGGCACACAGTTCG